TAGAGCTTAAAGGCACTGCTGATCATCAATCAACAAAACAGAACTGCACCACAGACAAACGCAAACCAACAGACCTGGAACTCAGTAGATGAGATTTCAGATGCGGTTCCAGAGATGGACTTATCTGCACTTAGGAATACAAAAGGTGGTGCATTTTCAGTCTAGTCATCTAATTAGAATCCAATTAATTTTTAAAACAATAATTTCTTTCAAAATCTAATGTTCTAGATTTCTACACATCATACCGCTGGGAAGTTAAAAACTACAGTTTGCATCTTACGCTATGGATTTTATTCGCAAGCAGGTCAATTGTTTTATTTATTTTTAAAAGTTACTGAACAACGTTTTGCTAAAAAATGGATTTAAAGGAGTCAAAATAAAATATTTACAACAATTGCACTTTGTCAGGCTGTAAATGTCAACTGAACCATTTATATGAATAATTAACAGATTTGCATTTGTAAAGGTGAGAATTGGAATACAAGCTGAAAGCAGTTGAAGTGAAAATGATCCTATCGAGACTTGCTTGCCACAGAAATGTCTTGCCCTTTCGATACTTGATTCATTAATATTAGAATTACTAAATAGACTACATAATGTTAACACTTTCCATCCTGCCTAATCATAATGGGGAAGAAAAATAAATGTAGATTGATGCATTATGAAGACCACTAAAAATGCAAAACAATCATTGGCTTTGAATAGCATGGGGTCAATATAGACAGTGGTCCCAGTTTACCAATTGACAGTCTGCTAAATTTCAAACACAAGGCCTCCAGCTGGCTATAGATCCTTTTAAACCACGTGGAAATCATTCAGGCTTTAACAAATGCCAGCTCCAGTCTCTACAAATTAAAAAAAATGCTGAATGTGGAGGTTGGAACAGACTGCTGCTGTCATAGTAATGAAACTTGAATCTTTAGTCAGTAATGTGTGTGGTGCAAGGTCATGTGAGTAAGTGTTTGGTGGCTCAGCAAGCGACACAGAAAACTGAACAGAATGAGTGCGCTTTGGCATCTGAAATAGCCAATGCCACATTACACAGTTTGGTAGAGATTAAGTCACCCAACGAGCACTGTCCCACAAACAGTCGTGGATTGAGCAACCACATTATTATTATTATTTTTTTGAAGGGATTATTAACCTTATTGCTACATCAGAATAATCAAACAAAGCCAGTATGTTTTGTACATTTTTAGACAAGCAGTCTATTTTATCTATACTACTCAATCTAAAATAAATCTGCCCCTAGGGTCTCATACACACAACATCACTTCCTTTAGCTGCTCTGAAGCTTATTCCCTTGTTATGCCCATCATACACATCTCACATGAACACAACTAATAGACAATCCCAATGTCTCTGTGACTCAACCACCCAGTCTGATTCTGGTCAGAGTAAACCATTAAGGTCCTACCTTGACTATATTAATAGAACCCCCAGGTGAACATTGGAAGTGACTTCAGCATTCCCAGGTTACAGAAGGAGGAACAAAACAGAATTCTACCTTTCAAATGAACTCAAATGAACTTTCTGAAAGTTCATGGTTATACAATGAACAAGAAATGAAAACACCCTGCCTTGCAATTGGCCCACAAGCATCTTTGTCCTGATCTGTTGAATGGGGAATTAGTGCACTGTTTTAGGAAGGAGCTGAGAGTAGTTAAAACACTTCCCTCTTTCATTAAAGCTCTGCAAAATTTATTCAAACCAGGTTCAAAAAAATCTTGCTTAGCATAAAAATGCTGGTAAATCATAAGCTGTGCAGCTATCTATTCCATCCACCCAATTAAAAGCTCTACGAACAAACACTTTCTTCTGAATAATTAAAACATTTGTCAAACCTGTTCACAGCTTTTAGAAAAATAAGCATTCAGTTCAAAACTGGAACTAGATCTCAAAAGTAAAATATTCTAATTCTGCCTAAAACAAATACATTTACCACACTTATGAACCTCATGAAGCTCTTATGAGAAATTGATACATTTCATAAGTCCCCATAGTAAATTCAAGATTATTATACTATTTACTACTACTTAATACCTTTGTTTACCAACAAAATCAACTGAAACTAGCAGGTTTCTTTTGTATGCAAATGTTCCATATATTTGCTCTAGTTAATTCAGTCTACTTCAGAAATAACTTATACCTGCAATAGGATTCAATAGGTCATCTCTCGAAAGAAATACATTCACACTATCTATGACAGGACATTATATTTATACAGTATTTTGTTTCCCCACCTCATTTTCCCCAAGACATCTTCTATGCTGGAAGCCATTCCCACAACCAAGGGGTTTGCACATAAATGCAAAAACTAAATTTTCCAAATCCTATATTTTGGTGCACAGCCTATCAGACCACCTTAAAACATGTGCAGCACAAACTTATTTTGTCCTGCTATGTAACACATGACTCCTTTTGAAGATTTAAAAATTCTAGTATTGTGCTATCACCACCACCTCGACAACGATAAGAGAAACTGCAGGGCTTCTTTTCGTGTTAACACATTCTCACTCATATAACACATTAAATACAAACACATCCAAAAAAAAATTAACAAATTGTGCTGGTCGAATACTACTAAAATCTATGCAGTTTCCTATGTTATTTCTAACAATATCCATATATATTATGTTGAGGCGTCTAGAAGACGTGAAAAGCGCTATATCAAATGCAAGGACTATTATGTACATACACACACATATTCATATTGCATTTTGAACAGCTGACATTCTATCTCATCAAATCTGCAATAACTTGTGTCCACCTGTCCCAGTAAAGGTCAGTCTGCTGTCACTCCAATAAAAATACTAGTTTCTAGAAAAAAATACTGTTTAAAAAATATTTTCTTCAGCAAAAAATCATAACACACATTTCGACTAAACGCTGTGCATCAGAAGTTGATCGATATCCAACACTCTAATCTGAACAAGTCCCACAAACAACTGATCTGAAAGAAACCAATTCAGATTTGCTAAATAAAATGCTACACACTTAAATGTAGCATCGCGGCCATATTATCAAGTGGATCTTCAGTCCAAACAAGGAAACCGTTCCAATTAAATGTTAATCTTTTAAATATACATTTTCCAATCGAATGATCTCTAAAAACTGCTCAAATCCTGTAAGTGGGGGGGAAGAATAAAAGCACGACAGGACACCACTCTAATGGAAAATAAAAATGTCACACACGGGGTCTCAAGCTGTTCGGTTTACACCAAACCAGAGTCCAGCATTTCAAAGCATTCGTGGAATGAATGTGGAAATCGCAGGTTGGATCCACAGAAAATCGGTACATGTAGTTTTGAAATTCCACGAGTTTAATGCTATATATATATACACACACACACACATTAAAAACAAACACTTAAAAGATCCAAAGGTAGCACTTCGCTCCAACATAAGTGAATACAAGCAAGTCTCAAATGTTTGCGATAAGGTTCCCAAAGTGTTACTCAACGGAAATACAACTTTAAATACACATTTACTGTGCGTTTAAAGTTGTATTACTTAAGAAAACACAAACACACACAGACAAAAGAGGGTACAGACCAGAGAAACACGCTTGACAGCATCCCCAACGCATGCACCGCAATGTACAGTGGGGGTCCCTTTCACATCCAACCCCTGAGCTCCTCTTAAAAGTCAGTCCCTTTGCTTCTTGACAAAACAGAAAGCGCTTCACAACGATTGGGAATTAAACAAACCTTATTTGTTTTTAAAAAAAAAGTAACACACAAAAGACCGCGGGGGAAAAAAGCGTCGAAATGCAACACGAACAAAAAAAAGAAGACAATAGCTGTGAGATGCTCTCAACCCGAAACGGGAGGAAGAGGCTTTTTTATACACACACACACACAACACACAACAAAATAACCGGGGAATTTTTTTTGTATCGTCTCCAAACCACACAAAAAAATACACCTTTGTCCCATACCTGTTATTTGATCTCAGTCTTGCGGTGGGGGAGGGAGTGGAGGGGGCGGTGGGTGGGGGGGTCTCTCTCTCTCTTCCTTTCCTTTCCAGGCTGAGTTCGCACTCGCAGACAGATGAGATAAATTACAGCTCCTTTTGTTAAAACTTGTGTCGGTTTGCACTGTTATCTGAACTCCCTCTCCCCCTCTCTCTCTCTCTCCCCTGAAGCCTCTGCTCCCGCCTGGGAGTGACCACGGCAACGGCTGTCTGGCCGACCCCTACCCCCCCCCCTCCTCCTCCTCCTCCTCCTCTCGGCCTCTCTCTCTCTCACACACACACACACACGAAGGGGGGAAAGGAATGATTTTTTTCCCCCCCTCCACCACCTAAAATAATTATCTTTTTTTCCTCACCACCCCCCACCCCCCAAAACAACAAACTACTGGTCCCTTCTTTCTCTTGACCGGGGGTGGGGGTGGGCGAGGGCGAGACCTGCGCCTTACACAAAAAACATATCGAAATATAAATAATATATAACCAGCTGCAGACTTTTCTCTCTCTCTCTCTCTTCCCCCCCTTCTCCCCTTCTCTTTCTTTCTTTCTCTTTCTTTCTCCCCTTCGACTTCACCGGAGATTAACTCCTCAAAGAAAATGGGGGGGAGGGGGAGGGGGGGGAATGGAGGAATTTCTTCTCCCCTTTTTTTTCTCCCCCCTTTCTCTCTCTCTCTCCCTCTCTCTCTCGTTCCCTCTCTTCTTTCTCTCTCTCTCTCTCTCTCTGGACGTCGCCTTCTTTTCTCCCTCAGAAAGTCAGTCCGTTTTCCGTCGGTCGGTCGGTCCGGTCGGGTCGGTCGAACCCCCAACTCGCGCGCGCTCTCTCTCTCTCTCTCTCTCTCCCGCTCGCGATGCCCCGACAGCGACGCTAACCACCGGCTCGTGTGGTGCAGGGAGGAGAGGCGGGAGGTGGGGTGGGGGGGGGGGACAAAACAAATCACAGTCCGGAGGCAGCGCAGTTCGCTCTCCCCTCCTCCTGTGACTGGGAGCGGCTGAAAACGACGACACCCAAAACCGCCGCCACCGCCCACCTTCACCTTCTCCTTTCTCCACCTCTTCTCGCCAACGGTCGCTGCCTGAACTGCGCGTGCGCCGCTTCCATCTCCGCCACCCAATTGCCTCCCTCCTCCCGGCCTCACACGCTCCCGCCCATACCGCGCTCCACCAATGGTAATTCGCCTTCGCACGATTGACTGGTCGTCTCGACCAATGGCGAGGCGGCACAGGGTCGATTGACACCTGAACACACACACGCGCGCGCACCGCCCCCACACACACCCCCACACACACACAGCGTGTGGTTTATGAGGCGGGGCGGGCGATTGCGTCGTTTGATAGACGTACCGCTTCACCAATCGGAACGGGGCGAGAAGGCGGGACGGGCACGTCAGCCCCGCCCTCCACCCGCCCTCTCGCGGTGGATGCGACGCGCCGTTTGATTGACGTCCACCTGGACCAACGAGAGGCCCGACCTCGCTGTCTGTCAAACGGTTCAGCCGGTGGGGCCCAATCGGGTGGGTCGTGACTGGTCGCCTTGTTCAAGCGGAGCGCGGAGAGAGAGGGGGGCAGCGTCCGGCGGGAGTGGACTGTCCACCGGAGTGACCGGGGTCAGAGCGAGCGAGCGAGTGAGGAGAGAGAGAGAGAGAGCGCGCGCGGGGCCACAGGTGAATTCATTCTTCTCTTCGGCTCGAACCCCGGTCCTGGTGGTCGGGAAAAAAAAGAACCCCTTCCCGCGGCCTCTGGTGGAGGAAGAGGGGGTTCGACCTGCGGTTTATATGGGGGGTCGACAGGAGTTTGACAGTCGGGAGACCCCCTTTTTTGGGGGGTGGAGGTGGAGGTCGGGCAACTGAAAAAAGTTAGGCCCCAAAGGGAAGGAATTGTCAGTGGGGAGGGGGTGGGGGGGAGTGGGGGGCACTTTTTTTCTCGCTGTCAACATTATGTGGAGTCCTGTGGCTCAGTGGTTAGAGCACTCGCTTTGCAAGTGAGAGACCTGAGTTCAATTCCAGGCAGAGGGCGAAACCTCGGGCAAGTTTCCTTACTCCACACAGAGCCTAATAATAATCCTCCAAAACCAAAAACAATAATAAATTGGTCATTTCAATCCACGACTGTTTGTGGGACATTGCTGTGCGCAATTGGCTGCCGCGTTCGCCCACAAATATATAGTCAATTCACTTTACAGTGTGTTCTGTGAAGCGCTTTGGGACGTCCTCCCGACGTGAAAAGCGCTATATCAAATGCAAGGATTATTATTATGATTCGGAAGTATCACTGACATGTCCTCGATTCCGTTTTTGTTGACAGTAGCTCCGAGTTAATCATTTCCTTGTTATGTGCTGAGCTGTTACCAGTTCAGTTGGGGTTGGGATGTGAATGACACATAGTAAGTCCCGGTGTATGTAAACACCTCCCCTTGTTTTATGGGTTGAGTATCTGTGGAGGAGGGAGACACACCCCCACACACACACACACACAGGTACTGCTTGTTCTCTTGGTAATAATTGGATCAACAAGGTTGTTTGAAAGGGGTATTATTACCTTTTATGGGTAAAGTCAGGTCAAAGATTATTATGTTATTCCACTGTGTCTGCAGTGCTGCCTGATGACACTTGGGGAGTTTGTGCTGAGCCATATATATATATGTCATATTTGCTGCTGCACAAACTACTGGCGTTCTTTGAAGTGTTACCAGAATGAATGTATATGATAAAAACATTCTTTTGATCTTATAGTGATTCTTCTTTTCTTTGAAGATGGCGTTTATCAGATAGACTGTATTAAAATACAATAGTATTTGCTATCTTATCTCCCATTTGGTCTCCCATTGAACAAGGGTATAAACCACAAATTCTTACTAATTAACCATCGAATGATCCCAAATAACCTTTTGATTATCACAAGATGTGGGATGTAGTTTATTTTAACCTACTGTTTTTCATAGAAAGCAACAAGTATGTTTCCCAAACGTGTGACCAGTTTTGGTCATTTCTTTTATCATTCTTCGTTTACGTTTTGCCTTTTGTAGCAGCTAATTTGATAAAATGTTTTTTTGTTTAAAATGTCAGCAATGACTCTTTAAAAGGTTAAATTAAAATGTACAGTATTGATTATTCTTTGTGCTTTTATATAACAGAAAACCACTACACAGAAATTGAGTCAATTTCAGTACCAATCAAATGTATTTTATGATGGAATTTTATGATGACACTATGATATGAATTATTTTTAGAAAAATGAGTTTTAGAATCCGTAGCCCTCTGTAATCGAAACGGCTAGGTTTTAATGAGCTTCACTTTTTTACCTTATTGCGAAAAGAGGTATATTATTAAATAAAAGCTGCAGCAATTATCATTTTCTCACATGGTTAGAGCACTGGTGCTTAGAAGCTATTGGAAAAGTTCTACTTTTCGCCTACAACACAGTCAATCTACTTTACAATATATCCTGTGAAGCGCTTTGAGACGTTTTGACCGCATGATTAGATGCTTTATCAAATTATTATGACTTCAGCCGAGCTGCTTCTTGTATTATTGCCAATTAATCATCTCAAATTGCTTCAAACACTGCCACTGCCACCACAGCACAGTAACGCCTTAGTGTTACATGACTTAAAAGATGTTCTCCAGACACAGACTTAGGACAAAACCTGTACGTTGTACTGCTTGGTGATTTTTGCAGTGCATGAGGACAAAGCACAAAGTGTCCCAAGCTCAACATTATGCTTCATTAGCTGAGAAATCCCATTCGTATGCCAGCTGCACAAGAATTTCATGTGCTACTTTATCATTTTCCTAATTTCTTCATGACAACACTGTTCCAGATTTTTTTTTTAGTTATTCAAGGTCACTGTGACTCACAGATGATTGAACTATGCACTGCACATCATGATGACCAGATGTGTCATTCAATGCAATGATCACGTTATATTCCAATTGTCTTTTCTTCCGTCATTGGAAACCTTATTTACGGCTTTTATTATATTTGAGCCCACATCTCTCTGTGTTCGTGAACATCTCGTGATGTTTGTGCTGGACAATTTCAGAACAGGAATCTTGCCTATTTTCCCTTTACTTGTCAGCTTGGTAATGCTGAGGCGAACCTGTGTAGCTTCCCTCTGCTAAGTTTGACTACCTAACTAACTAACTAAGGATTAAATTGGGGACCATGCTGTTGTGTCGCAATGCAAAACAAATTGTGCCATTGAGGGAAACTGGTAGGGCTGGGTGTTTTTTTCCAAGGTTCAGCATTATTTGTTCCTCCTTCCCATTTTAAGTCTGCTCAGCAGACTCTGGCCTGCTCCACGAATCCCGTCTGTCCCTTCCCACCATCAGCGGACAGGCCTTCAATCTTCCTGCTCTCACCCATTGCAACACCATCCCACAGTCCCTTCACATCACCCCCTCCCTCGCCTCCTTCAAGGCTCGTCCCGAGACCTTCCATTTCTACAGCGTCTTTGCTCACCCTCCTGCTCCCACCCTCCCTGCCCTCCAGCCCTCCTGATCCCAACCCCCAGCTCAGGTGCAAATCCTTAACTGTCCAGCGACTTGGGACATTCTCCCAACATTGAAGGGGCTTAGGCTTAGGGCTTAGAAATGTAAATTGTTGTTAAGTAATTTTCAGCACTCTGTTCCCTTTCCCTCTGCGTGCATGTACATGGCACACCATTTCCTAACCTGCTAAACCTACACCTCTTGCCAGTGTTTACACCTTTGCCCTGTCTTTTGAGTAATCTTCACCAAAACTCTCACTATCCTAAACAGCTCTCCTGAAATTGGGCATCCTCCAAGTCAGGCATTGCAGAAACAAATCCCTAGCAATAACCGCCGTCATTGATGGTCATAACTTATTTTAATGGTTTTGTGGCTGAAATGATACTAAAAATGTGCCTACTGTTTAACAGTCACTGCTGCTTGCTTAATTACTTTTGATGCCACCTGTAATGCTGCCATTACCATAATGGCATTTGCATCTTATGTCTCTCGAGTCAAAAGACCCTTCGTTTTCCGTACTTGAATGGGAGGAGAAAACTGCTGATTCTGCTTTGACTTTATTCATTTTGTATTTCAGAGACCAATTTGTAATTAGTTTGCAAATGGTTGGAACCCTTTTATAGTGAACTCTTGCTTGACTGTCAAATTGGCTGGCTAATTGAGCATTATTTCCTGAGTGTGTTGAAATCAAGAAGCTTAAAAAAAATTATATTCACATTTACTGTACCTTAGTATTGATTTCAAAAAGATTTTCAATTGGAAGAGCACATAATAATAATAATAATAATAATAGTATGTAACATTCCCTAATTTTTTAAAAACAATTTATTCAGTATGTTAATAATATTAATCCTTGCATTTGATATAGCGCTTTATCACATCGTTGAGATGTTTCTAAGCGCTTTTGTAAAGTGTATTGTAAAGTGGTTTAACTGTGTATTTTAACATTATTAATTGTTAATAATTATGTACAGGGACTAAAGGGAAAGTATTCTGAAAGAAGTATTTAAAAGTCGAAGCCCCCTAAGTTATTACAGCACAAAATATATTTTTTAAAAAGTACAGCTCCCTGAAAAGTACAGAAATCTTTGCTATTCATTCCTTGGGAACTTGCAGCTTTCCATCTTAAAGGGTTTCCTTGACCATGAGGAGTCGCTTCCGCTGAGTTTCAGTGAGGGAGCACTTCAGGCCGTCCTTGGAACCGACGTGGGAGCTGCCTAAACCGGAAAGTGCTCTCCAGAGGAAGGGAGGGAAAATCAAGAGGTTGATCTCTTGTATGTATCTTACTGGTTGATTTTCAAGTGTTGCCTTTTCAAAGGCCTGGACACATTCCCAAACCCAAGATGGTACAGTAATACTGAGATAAGACACAAATAAATCCAGTTATGATATTAAAATGCATACCATATACACGGCACAGCTTCCTGTTATACTTTGTTATCATTTTAACCTGCACCTCAGTATTATCGTATCGGTGATATCACTTGTAATATTTGACTGTTGCATAAAATATCTCCAAGGACATGTCCGAGGATCGACAGGGAACTAGGTGAGGCTCTAGTAACATTGGAATCCGCGGGATAACACATTTTGTTCTGCTGTTCGGAACAGGATCGAGACTTGAAGATCAAAGAAGTTAGTCTATAGAGAAACACTTGAAAGCATTATGTAGGATGACGCCATTGCTCAAGTATAGAGTGCTGAGGCCATAATGAACATGGATTTGGAAGGTCTTGTGACACAGAAGTACGGAAAGTTTTTGACGAGATACCTAAACGTATGTCGACCAGTAGTTTATTTGAGCATTGCTTGTCAGAGCTCCATGTGTGAGACCTGTGAGCAACATTAATTTAATGAAATGGATTGCAAATTAGCTGGCTGGATTGCAAACTAGGAATGGGAAGCACAAGGTGATAATGAAGGAAAAGCGATCTCTCTGTGGACCAGTAATGTTTGTCAATGGGAGGACATGTGCACAAACATATTCAATATTTGACCAGATTACATCCTTCTACTATATTCATAGCTTGGATAACACAATCATCATCTGCAACATTTAAAAAAAGGACAGTATTTATTTGCTTTCCGCTGAGGAACGGCAGACTTGGAAGTCTAAGAGTTGATGGTGTTAACTCACTTCACACAAGACTTTAGTCACACCTTTTTTTTTACTCAAAAACCATGACCTCAAGCCACCCGAAATGCGAATTTCTCCCATCAATTTTTATTGTGACGGATTGCTACTTTGTCCTGTAATATATTGTTCAGCAGTTAAGCCAGGTGCGAACACACTAATCTTTAGTGGCGGTAAAAAGGGTTCAAGGTGAATTGTCTTTCTGAACGTGGAGTTGAAAACTACGTTTTTTTAAATGTGATTCAAATAATAGGTTCATTTAGGTCACTATTTCAGCCACTCTACCCCAACCTCTTGAATTCTATCCCACGTACCCTTCACCTGCTCCCTCCCTTGCCTTCTTCAAGGCCCGCCTCAAGACCTTCTTCGACTGCGCCTTCGGTCACCCTCCTATCCCTACCCTCCCTGTCCTCTGCCCCTCGGGATCCCAAATTCCTGACTGTCCAGCACCTTGGGATGTTTTCCCTCTGTGAATGGCACCATGCAAATATGATTTATTGTTGTTGCTGTTGGTATTGAAGACTTGAAGATGGCAAAATGACTTACAGTAATATATTATTTTCCCCCTGTTTTAGGTATTCAGTTTGTCACATCGCCAAGGGAATGGATGGATAGTGTGTTCTCTGGGCTCTGTAATTGCCGCTTTGGAATCAGCTTGCCTTTTTTCCACTCTCTTCCCCCTTCATTCCTCCTGGCTTTCGGCCAGCTTTGGTGTAGGTGCAAGTAAATTTAGCAGTCAGATTACTTTGTTAATGGAAGTGGAGCTTGCGGTTAGTGCTATCACAGTTATTATCAGGGATTTGCCTTATCCCAAAGTGACCTTCATGTGAATGAAGCAAAGAAAGTAAACGAAAAGGGTGTTGTAAGCACAAATGAAAATGGGCATCGATTTTTAGTGAATCCAGAGTCTTTCCAAATTGTTGTTAATACAGATGGCACTTTTGATGGACAGACATAATCTGATTCATTGAAAGTGAACTCCCACCAAGTTCCACACATTCTTGTGCTGAATTGTAGACGGAGTGAAGTAATTTTGTCCGTTTTATGCAGAGGATTTCAATCCCGAGGGAAGATCATTGGCTGATTGGAAGAAAATTGGCTGCCGTGTTTCGCCCACAAATATACGGTCAATTCACTTTACAGTCAATTCACTTTACAGTATATTCTGTTTGAGACGTCGAGAAGACATGAAAACCGCTATATCAAATGCAAGGATTATTATTATATTATCATTCCTGATCAAATCCAGGGTGAAATACTCCAATGCAGGAGGTAGGGTTAAGGAATGACATTTTTTAAAATCATTTTTTAAACTAATTGTCCTGGCCAACAATCCCCCAAATAAAATTGGTCACCCACTCCATGGTTGTTTGTGGGACACTGCTGTGAGCAAAACTGGCTGCTGCATTACGCCCACAAAATACACAGTTTATCCTGTTTAAGCGCTTTGAGACTTCTCAACGATGTAAAAAGGTGCTATAACAAATGGAAAGATTATTAAAACCTGAGGGAGGAGTGCTCAAATGAAGGTGGATCACTGATATGGTAGTTGAGTGCCCGAATCCCTCTATAGTACAGTAATAGGCATCAATTTGAACCAAGTAAAACAATTATGAGGCAAGGGATTGAATCAATTTATTGTAAAATCTCCACATATCTTTGGAACAACAGCAGAGATTCTCAATCATCTGTTTAAAAAAAAAAACGGGGAAAAAACTTTCACGTCCTAAGCTATGTGGTGGACTTTGTATTCTAACAAAGAGAGCTGGGAAAACTCAGCAGGTCAGGCAGCATTTATGGAGAAAGGAAATTGCGTCAACGTTTCGGGTCAACGGCCCTTCTGACCTGCTGAGTGTTCCCGGCTCTCTCTGTTTTTGTTTCAGATTCCAGCATCTGCAGTATTTTGTGTTTTGCATTCTAAGTTTGTTTGTGTGTATTCGTAAATAGAAAACTTCCCCCCCCCCCGTTATGTCATCAAGAGATGAGATTAAGTATGTAACCACGAACAAAACACAAAATACTGCAGATGCTGGAAATCTGAAACAAAAAGCAGAGAGAGCTGGGAAAACACCTCTTCTCCCCAGTTTTGTTTCAACCCACCCCCACTTTTGTTTTACAATCCCCCCTTTTGTTTTTACGCCACTATCACCTCTTTAACCCATCAACAAACACATTCTCTCCTTTGTCTTCTCTTTTTGTCTTCCTTGTCCTGCCTCCCCCTCTCAACTTGTCCTTAAAAACCTCTCCCTCCCAACATGCCCCGGTCCTGACGAAGGGTCGTGGACCCGAAACGTTGACTCACTTTCCTTTCTCCATAGATGCTGCCTGACCCGCTGAGTTTTCTCAGCTCTCTCTGTTTTTGTTTTAAGTATGTAACCAGTTGACAGGACTTAGTACTTGGCCTGACAGCAGTTATGCACAGAGCTCTCTTTGCCCAGATGTGAAAAGTGACTTTTGCAATACAGAAGCAGGTACTGTTGCAGTGTGATTGAGCCACAAGGTTTACCAGATGAGCTCTCAGTCTGACCATTTGTTTTCTGTTTGCTCTTACTTTCAGCCAGGGACAGTCCAGCCCAAGATCTGGAACCTGTATGGAGAGTACTCTCGACAAACCTGCACCACACCTGTCAAAGTGCCAACAAGCTTCTGCAGAATAGCTCTACATTTCTGGAGGCGTTAATATCATTCCTCGCTGGTAAATTCACTCTTTTTTCCTTCTGTACAACATTTTCGTTCTGAGACACTTGATAGATAAATCCTTGCTTACATTGACGCAGTTGCATTTAAGTGAAATAGTGCTCTTGGAAATATCACTGTAACATTTCAACAAAATATCTTCCGAATATGGGCTTTAACGGAGCTTAATTGAGTCTTGGCAATTCTGTTGGACCAGTTATTCCATTAAACGTTATTAATCGAAAGACAGATCAATTTCTATTGTCTTTAATTAAATCCGTGACTGAACATTGTTAATTTAAGAGCCCTTCCCATCCCTTCCCCTTGTCTCCTCCAACACTGGGGAAACTGATCAAGATCACAGCTTAAACAGAAGCCCAGAACACTTTATCACTGTTCTGAGACTTGCAATTGATTGTCTGTCATTACAAATTCAGTTTAACTGCTGTACAAGATTTAATTTGCATACAGGCCCAGACTCGACTGAGAGACATGTTTAGTGATCCTCACGCTCACCAGTTTTTACAGTTAATGTGAAAAGACAGTTTCTAGCCTGGGTGATTATTTCCTCTTCACTGCCCATCAGCCTCTCCAAGCTACCTGAGTTGAGCGATTTGCATTTTTGTTTTCTGCTGTGCACTTAGAGAGGGAATGAGGGGAATTTATGTATATGCATTTTATCATATTTCTCAGCACTTATTCGGCCACAAAATATACAGTCAATTCACTTTACAATATATTCTGTGAGATATCTTTGAATCCTTTTTCTCAACGACATGATGAAGCGCTTTATCAAATGGAAGGATTATTATCATTATTATTATTATAGTACTTAATAATAATAATAATCCTTGCATTTGATATAGCGCTTTTCACGTCGGGAGGACATCCCAAAGCGCTTCACAGAATATACTGTAAAGTGAATTGACTGTATATTTGTGGGCGAACGCGGCAGCCAATTGCGCACAGCAATGTCCCACAAACAGTCGTAGATTGAAAATGACCAATTTATTATTGTTTTGTTTTGAAGGGATTATTATTAGGCTCTGTGTGGAGTAAGGAAACTTGCCCAAGGTTTCGCCCTCTGCCTGGAATTGAACTCAGGTCTCTCACTTGCAAAGCGAGTGCTCTAACCATTGAGCTATAGGACTCCACTGTCCAGTTAGGACGACTCTACCCCTTTGAACTGTTACTTAAAGGATGAGGAGCATGGCTCTCTGAGCCTCATTGAAATAAAGGCATCAACAATGCCTTGGATTTCTGAAGGCCTGCCTGGTTTCATAAGGTGTGTCTCCTCAGAGCATTTCAGCTGCATGGAATCTCTGTTTATGGGAGCCACAATGTAAATCCAGATCTGTGATTTAAATTCAATTAAAATTGAAAATAGCATTTAATTCCTTCCATTCAATTTGGTACTAGCTTTCAAACTGTTTTTCTGTGGTTCTTGAAAGAAACGCCACATACCCTGAAATGTGAGGAAAAATAGAGTAAATCTCGACTCAGGTGTAATTTTTACCTCTATATTTTCTCAAAGCAAGTTTGTAAAATGCACTCTTTTTCACTCTAATACTAGAGTTAACATCATGATGCTGTATCTGAGGTATTTAGTAATAATAATAATCCTTGCATTTGATGTAGCGCCTTTCATGAATCACGGCAGCCAATTGCACACAGCAGTGTCCCAAACAGTAGTGGATTAAGTGACCAAATTATTATTTATTTATTCACTTATTTTGAAGGGTTTATTAACCTAGAAAAGTGATCCGCCAATCGACTAACAAACGGGTTTCTACTTATTGCTAGTTAAGCAGAGGTGTGTGGAATAAGGAAACTTGACTACCGTTTCTTCCTGCCCAGGAGTGGAACCCAGGTCCTCTCACTGAGCTACAGGACTCCACAACGCATTTGGCGTTTTTTAGCAGGGCAGCTTTTTGACTTTTAAAAATGAATCAGAACTGTAATAAAGAAATTTGGGCGAGCCTATCCAAGTTCATTTCACAGAAACTGCGATTCCTAGCATAGAAAGGAGGCTGTCAGCTGTCACTGTGAGCAGGATTTAAACCCAGTTCCCAGAGGTGAAAAGCAAGTACCCTAACTCACAGTGCCAGCCTCTCTCTCTGCTTTACTTATGAATATTTTTGTTCCAGTGGTGAGTGCTGAGATAATTGAGTGAACTGGGCTTAGAGAGAAATAGCTCGAGTCCAACTGTGCAAGGGAATTGAATTACACATACCGTTTCAAGCCCTGAAAATAACTGAGGCTCCCTGGATGAATAACTATTTCTGTGGATGTTAATTAAGCTTTGTTCCACTGATGGACTCAGTAATTCCTCCCAGCTAGTTTTCCCCAAAAAAGACATCAGCAAAAAAATGTTTAAAAAGTAACTGAAATAGAACAAAAAACATAGGTGTCAGATAATTTTAATTATGTAAAATTAATGCGTGAAGGAAAATACGCCTGTCCAGTCAGTTGCGCATCTCTTGCAGTCTTTTGTTGGTCAATCTGGTATCACGGGCGGAAACCCATCACTAAGTTTAAGAGTATCCCAAACTAAACGGAGAATTCCATTCCCGTGTTTGGAATGGAATGTGCCATTCTCTCTCCCTGGAGGGACATACCCACTACCTGATGCTGGAGAATATTTGTCACAAGCTGGCAAGAGCCAAGGTTTAGGGACCTCAGAGCATGGGTTTAGGTACTGGAGTTTAGCTAAAACTAAACTAAAAATACTGTTCATCGCTTGCAGTTGAAAGCACTATCTTGCAAGCTTTCCTCATGCTTGTGCAGCTAGGACCACCCTACCTGCTCTCTTCAATATTGTTCAGAACTGCTGAATATTGTGTCATAATAATAATAATCCTTGTATTTGATAGAGCGCTTTTCACGTCTTCCCGAAATCTCAAAGCGCTTCACAGAATAGACTGTAAAGTGAATTGACCGTATATTTGTGGGCAAACGCGGCAGCCAATTGCGCACAGCAGTGTCCAACAAACAGTCGTAGATTAAAAATGACCAATTTATTATTATTTTGTTGTTTTGGAGGGATTATTATTAGGCATGTGGAGTAAGCAAACCTGCCCAAGGGAATTGAACCCAGGTGTCTCGCTTGCGAGGCAAGTGGTCTAACCACTGAGCTACAGGACTCCACATTGTGGCCCATGGTCTTGAAACTTACAGTGCCTGTATTTGTCCAGTTATTAATTGTGTTACCACAAAAACCTCCAGTTCTGTTTGTCAAGGTGATTCAATACATCTTTCATGTTTGAGAAAAATGGAGCACCCTAGAAGTAGCCGAGAGGAAATGTATCTCTCGCGAGGAAGCAAGCTCATCAGGCAATGTATTTTAATAACACTCATAATCTGTATCTTTGCAGCTAAAGGTTCTTGCTGCATTGAGATTAAATATGCAATAATTTAAACAGCATTTGTTCCCATAAAATCCACTCCTTTCTCAGGTTGTGAAAGACCTATCTACCTATCTACCTTTTGTTGAATTCAATCATCTAATTCGCCAACAAAATACACAGTCAATTCACTTTACAGTATATTCTTGAAGTGCTTTTAGATGTCTCAAAGAGGTGATAAGGTGCTATATAAAATGCAAGGATTATTATTAATGGAGAGCTCTGCTTTCTGGTGCTCAAAGGTTACCAAATATCGGATGAGCCATTAGACCGAGGTCCCGTCCGTCTATTCAGGTGGACATTAAAGATCCCATGAACCTATCAAAAAATAGAGAAGGGAGTTTCTCTCTGCCGGTGTTCTGGCCAACAGTCACTTGTGGAGTCCTGTAGCTCAGTGGTTAGAGCACTCGCTTTGTAAGCGAGAGACCTGAGTTCAATTCCAGGTAGGTCAGGGCGAAACCCTGGGCAAGTTTCCTTACCCAACACGCCTAATAATAATCCCTCCAAAAAAAACAATAATAAATTGGTCATTTTCAATCTATGACTGTTTGTGGGACATTGCTGTGCGCAATTGGCTGCCGCGTTCGCCCACAAATATACAGTCAATTCACTTTACAGTATATTCTGTGAAGCGCTTTGGGACGTCCTCCCGACATGAAAAGTGCCATATCAAAATGCAAGGATTATTATTATTAAATAAAATTGGTCACTCACTCCATGGCTGTTTGTGAGACATTGCTGTGTGCAACTAGCTGCCTTGTTCACCCACAAAATACACAGTCACTTCACGTTACAGTATATCCTGTGAAGCACTTTGAGACATCTCAATGATGTGATAAGGTGCTGTTTCAAATGCAAGGGTTAATATTGTTAAATAAAAAGTCTGCAATCATTATCCATTCCCAATCTCCACTGCTCAGATCCGGCTTTACTCCCTCACTGGTCCCACAGCCCCAGCCATTTTGCTCATCTCAATCTTCCCCCTTATCCTCCAGTGCTTTTCCCCAGAGCAAATATTTATCCAGTTCTTTTTGAGGAAGTTAATCAGCAACAACTGTATTTGATGGGAGACTGTTCCACCCAGCGAGCACTGTTGGGGGGGGAAATTCTAACCTCACATCTTGCTTGAGGCTTTTCACTTTTCAAACCTGTGCTGTCCACTTCTGGTCCTACTGTGCCGGACAGATAGCCTGCTTGCATCTGTCTGCATTATCTGTGCCTCTCAAATCTTTATCACTTCAGTTCCCCCTTTAATCATACTGGTGAAAAGTTTAGCTTTGAAGGCCATTTTCTTGCAACTTTCAGCTCTTAAGTTCTTCCTGTATAATATAATCACGGTTTCAATGTGTTTGTAAAAGTAGGGCACATCGTATTGTGAATGGTGTGCCATACAAGGTTAGCCGAATGCCCTCAAGATGCAATCTCACATTCGATAAGCTTTGTTAAGCTTCCTGTTGACTGGAAATCTCCAGGGAAAGATCAATAAGTGCACCTAAATCCTTTTTTTTCTCTCCACCTCTGCTAATAAAAAAACACGTAATTATGTGCAGGGTTTACTGTCCCTTATTTCATCACCTTGCATTTATCTCAATTATAGTCCATCTGCCATTCCTTG